TGATTCAGGTAAATTAGAGTCACTTGTCTATATGGATTTATCTGGTTTTATCTGTTTATTTGGGCTCGTCGAGGGTCTAGATAATGCCTCAGAAATGTGCCCCAGTTGATCATATTGGCTTGACGAGGCTCTAGGTAATTCATCAGAAATGCTTCCTAGTTCTTGGTTACTGGAAGTGCTTTGGTGTTCTCTATACTTTCTCAATAAATTTGAATCAAAATACTTTTCGAAAAATTTCAGAGAATCAACTGGAAAAACTCCAGTCGTTTCGAAGCCTGAAATTATGTTTTCGGGGATTATACCTTGTTCCCAAACTTTTTTTAACAATTCTGAGAACTTACGTCTGGTCAAACGTCCACAAGACTTTCCCATTTCAGATTTTCCATGATCAACCAAGATTCTGTCCCATTTAATTTTGATAGGTCCAAATATCCATTTATCTAATGGTTCGAAATGTTGTGTTCGAGCGCAGCATTCACTATTCGAACGCTGATATGGCTACTGTGGCCATCGAATAACAAAACAGCAGTCTGGTCAGGCACATCCCGTTCTTTTCGCACTCTGTTAACATTTGGTATGAATAAGGTTATGAACCATTGATAAAAGTGGAGCTCTTTCATCTACCCATTTTTAGATGCTCCATATATTGTACCAGGATACACATTTTCAGAAGTCCAACGGGCTCTGACAGCAGCTCCTTTAAACACAATAAATGGAGGGTTACCTTCTTTCTAGATTTCTATGTTGTTAATTATTTAATAAGTAATTTAGCTCAAATTGCTGATATGTGTGGATTCAAAAATTGACCAGGACCAGTAGCTTGACCTGTTCGTGGGCCAAGATCTACTTTAATATAAAATGAAAGATATTAAAATAAGACAACAAAAAAAGTTGAGGGCCACCAAGTTTTTCAGTTACTTGGAGAACTTATCTGATTTTAAATGTCCCGTTTAATTGAGTCCGTCTCTGGTACTTAAAGTTATCTGTATGGGTTCTAGCAAATAAAAGAAAGTGAGAAAATTTAATACATTTAATGAAAAAAAAAGTGAAAGATTAAGTTTATATAAGTCTACAAATTAAATAGTGAATAGAGTTGAATCAATGATTGTTTAAATTTTCTGAAGACACTTCGATAAATGGTGTTATTTTAGTACGTAGGTACGGTACTTCCCTTTTTTTTAGCTAGAGGCAACTAGGAGCTTCCTGAAGGACCTTGGGAGCTTCTTAATACGTTTTCATGGAAGAGCCTGGAGCTGCTTAAATGATCTTAGAGCTTCTTCTTAGAGACAGTACTTGAGTACTTGGAGGTAGAGTAGCCTCTTCTTGAGAGACAGTACTTGGAGGTAGAGTAGCCTCTTCTTGTTGGAGACAGTACTTGGAGGTAGAGTAGCCTCTTCTTGTTGGACAGTACTTGGAGGTAGAGTAGCCTGTTCTTGTTGGTGCCACTGACAATTATCCCAACGTTCACACTTAATAAACACAAATTAAAGATAATTACAAGCAATTCATTTTATTAAATTTATCGGCACGGCTAGCACCTTTTGAGTTTAAACATTAGAAAAGGAAAACCAATTCACCATTTTAGGTTTTATATGAACTCGTGGCTGAAAGAACCGCTATGGGCTATGCGCCGATATTAGCGGATCATGCGCGAACGATGCTTTGTAAAAATCTATAATGGTAGGACGAGCATACAGATGTTGTGTTACGAGGGGTTATGGAAAGGTTGTTAAAAATAAATTTGAAATTAATTTAAAATTAATTTCACGTAAAAGGAGGTAAAAATAATCCATTTGCCGTGCATGCTAAGACCGTAGTAGTTTCTCTCCCTGATCTTCCTGATACCCTAGACAATGGTACCTTGTTTTCACCTATAGCCCAAACTCTAGTAGAAGGAAAATTGGCTTTTTTAGACTGACGCTGGCGACCTTATAAATCAGTCTAATTTAAAAATTAGGGAGGTTTTTCGACGCAGATTTTTATGCTCTTCAACTTTGAATAGAATGATATTTTCCGTACGATGCATCGTTTCCATTATATGAGCGGAAAACCAGAAAAACTCCGAAAATTTCGAGGATTTTTGCGTTTTTCTTCAGATTCGTGTTCAGCATTCGAAGAAACATATAATTGAGATACCTTCTACCGCACTCATGTTAAGAAACAGACACTTTTGAACACCATTTAATCAGACTAATGGTGGAATATGTTAACTTATTACCAGACAACAAAGTAAATTATTATAAAAATATGTCCACTTATACCTTTTTTAGTAAAGTGCCTGCAATCTATTTTATGGGAATAAGTGAATTTATTTCATTTTTACTGCATTCCAAATATTTTAAAAAATAACATGTAGACATATGTTTTTGCTACTAAATAGATTTTTGTAATATTAGTTGATAACTTACGACTTTTTTAATTATCTGCTTTTTTACTGCCTAAAATTTATTTCATCGTATTACCTCTTATATAAACTGAAACTACATTTTTTCCCTTAATTTGAAATTAAATTATAATTAGTTTAGGACTTTGTCAAAAAAAGTCAAAATTTGCACGCCATTTTTCCACACTTCGAGAAAGACCTTTTAACTAATTACCACAGAAATACTTAACGAAATAAGTTATTTGCAATCCGAAAATAAACTTGCAAGTTTCTACTTGTAAGTTTCTACGTTTAGGGGGACAAAAATAATTAGTTATAAAAAAGAGTGAAATAAAATTTAATAACTGACAAAATATAAATCTCTTATTATCCGTTTTCATTTTGAATAAACCCTACATTTACTTTTATATAAAATATATAATAAAAAAGGAGTTAAGTGAAGCGTTTATTCTCTTAAAGAGCCCTAAAATCTGGGTCGAGGATTAGTCTGAAATGTGATGTGACAATTATTAGGTAATTTATCATCCATGTCGTGTCAACCTCAACGCTGCGAGCTAAAGCGGTAGGCATTAAGAGAAGATTCAAAGGATTGCGAATTTATTCTACTTAAAAACGCATTAAACTGAATAGATTGGGAACGGTAATGTTACGGAGTTTCATTTGTGACAAGTATCGTAGGTCAGTGACAGTGTATTATTAAGGGTTAGTTTTATTTGAATATGTGTATTATTTTTGTTAAAAAACATTGGTTAATAATAATTTTCATTATTTTAGTAACCCAATAAAGTTACCTTGCATAGAGATATTGTTGCGCAAAAATAAGAATATTACATATTTGTTCAGGTTTTAATAAATTGTCAAATCGTCGTTAATTTCACTAAGTGGCGTAACTCGATTTTCACAACTTTATAGGAGAGCGTTTTAAAGATTTTTATAAAGTTGAACCAGATGGCAACAAGTAACAGTAACAATCTAAAATCTAATTTTTGGTATACTAGAAGATTAATGTTTCAAGTACATGTCTATACATCATTTTTGCCAAAAAACTTGTTTTATTTTTCTTAAAATGGCCGAAAATGAGATACATCACTTTGAGTTGAATGAATGAATGAATCCGTTTATTTAGCCATTGCTATTATATACAATTATTTTTTTTAATTTACATTTTTTTTTTCTTACATAATATGCACAATTGTTTAATTTGATTCTCTAAGATATTTATTTTCATCGGATCTTAAATGTCGAGAATGTAAGTGTTGCTAGTAACTCACTTAGATATTTCGGTGTTAATTGATGCATCATTTTATAGATTACAACGAGGGTTGCCTTTTTAATATTCTGTTCAATAGAAAGCCAATTTAGGGTTTGTAGCATATTTTTGATACGTCAATTCATTAGGATATACTATAGTGCAGAAAAATTTAATAAACAATAAATATATTAAAATATTAACCACAATTTTATTAAAAATCAACAACAAACATACAAAACCAGATACAAAACCATTATAGGCAAACAAATATAAATAATACAAATAATTTAAACAAATATTCTGTATTTAAAATAATAAAATTTAAAAAATAAATAATAATTCTAATAAAAAAATAACTGATAATGATATGAGATATTACTTGAGAAGATTAAAATAAAAGATTGTATGCTCCTGATTTCTAACTACTGGCAAAGACCCTTCACATAGTAACTTAAGGTCAAAGTATTTCTCAGCTTTGAGTTTTTAAAGTTCTCTATTTATAGGCTCCAAATTAACTTCAGATAAATCAGTTTATAATCTTTTAAGTGTAAGCGAATCGAAGTCTTCTTGAAGGTGACTATTTTTGAATAATATTTTGAATGGATCAGATTTCTTAACCTTTAATTCCATAATATCTGTCCCTTTTATGGAATTTCCAGAATCCGATGTTCTACTGACAATATTCGTTGATCTTTGGATAGTTTCTTGAAATCTATAAAGTCATGATACTCTAAAGGTATTACTTTGTATGGTTTTTTCTTCGGACAAGGCGCAAAATGGGTTCTGAATTTGCAGTTTTTGCTGTTAAAAAAAACTTAATTTTATAATAATATTCTATTCTGTTACTAGTCACATTTTCATACTGTTACCTGTCATGTTTTAAGTTTTGTGTTATAGTCTTGATGATTTCTCTTTAGCCGAAACTTATTGCAACTTTTAATCTAATTAAACTATTTAAATATTGAATTTTATACATGTAAATAACACTACCACATTTGAGACTATGGAAAATCTTTCATATTATATCTCTGCACGTTTTAGCATTACGACATGGATTAATAAAGATAAAAAGATAACAATATTATTCTCTCTGGCCAACCAGTCTGTCATTCCATAGTTCCACAGTTTGAAAATTTGATTAGCCCGTTCAGTGGAGAGCGAAAAGTTCGGCTGCATGCGGAACTGACGCCATGACTCTTCCGCGACACCAGTGCCGCATTTGCCAGACGGAGCAGAGCAAAGACAGAACGGAAGTTGGGCCTCTTGTTTAGCAGGAAGTGAAGATGTAACTTTCTGACAATTAAAACATCGGAGGGTGTTGATGTGTGTACCCGCTCGGCTCAAATTCAATAAACAAGTTTGTGCATGAACGTGAAACCCTTTGCCATTGGTACAGTATCATCTCTAAAAGTTGGGAGTATGGCGTCGCAGTGAGCAAAATTATTTGTGAAAATTAGCTTCATAAATAATGTATGTGGTTCGAATAATATGTGGAAGTTAAATATATTATGCAGATAGAAAAAAAAAAGGAATGGCAAATAAAAGATTAAAGTTAGATCAATCACTGGTTTTATTACATTAACCTTGCTACCCTGTGGTTTCTTGCCTTACGTTTTTTCAGTTTCAGTTCATGATTAACTCTAAAAGCTCAATATAAAATATATGACTCCAGCAACGTATATTGACAACTCTCTTTTATATAACATGACATTGATTCTCATCACAGTTAACTACTGCTAGTAGGAAGTAAGCTTATTAGGCTATCTTCAAACACCTCCCTCACAAAACTGAGACAGGATGGCATTGAAGCTGAATCGAATTTTCTTAATTAACTATTTTGACATGTCTTATATTTTTCACGTAAACTCGACCACTTGCACATTTTCTTAAGTAACTTCTTTTACTTCTTATTTCCAATACTTCTTCAATTTTGTCCCACAATTTCGTGTTTGGATCTTGAATTCGAAATCTAAATCCAATTTGGAGTGGCGGTAAATTTTTGGCATCTTTGTTATATCTAATAATCGACTTATTGTTGTGGTGTGTTGCTTGTCTGTCAAAATCATCTGCGGCATTTTGCCATTCCCTTTCAAAGGATTTTTGATGTGCAGGAACTAACGATTTTATAGGATGACCAAATTAAATTTGAGCAGGAGATCTTCCGTCTATTTTTAAGGTTTTTATCCATTCCAATAGACCGACAAAAAATTGGTCATTATTTAATCTTCCACCAATCGTACATTTTTTTTTATTAATGCTTTAATCGCTTTTACACCAGCCTCTGCATGACCATTGCCTTGAGGTGCAATGTCTTACATTCCATTATTTTTTTTTTTTAAGACCGGAAATCACTTGAACTGAACTGCGGTCCGTTGTCTGAACGGAAACGTAAAGGACCCCAGTAAATCGTTAATTATAGCCAAATTATTAGGGTCTCGATTTCTGTAATGGCAAATTATTGGCCATCCCGATAATCTGCCTACGTAAACCATATATTTTTGTCCTCCATAAGAAAACAAATCAGCCGATCTGACAAAACTCGCATGTTTCTATGATATTCTTAATGTCATTATTCATGGTAGGCCAGAAAACTGTTGGTCCAGCACGCTATTTTTTCTTTCAATACCTTGATGGAAGTCATGTAATCGGTCCAGTACCATTTTTTTGCTAGGACCCAGGTATTAAGATTTGACACCCCTTTAAAATCAAGCCATTATCGAAACACTCCAGTCGGGTTTAAGCGAGTTTTCTAACCTTTCTTTACAATCCAGGAAACCTTTCTTGTTAACTTTGTCCTGTTTAGCCGATTTTTGTAAAACTTCTAGTAGAAGGTCTAGAATATTAGAAACATTAGAAACTTCACCGAATAGGTCTTTCTCAAAGGGAACATTTATTGGTGATATTGATAGGACATCTGGTATACTATGTTGAGATCCTTAAGTCCATTCAGCCACGAAGTTGTATCCAGATAATTTTTCTTTCAATCTCTGTAGTCTTGGATTCTCTATTATATCTATAGTATAGGAATTCAGAATTGGTAACAACGGTTTATGGTCTGTCACAATTTTAAAATCATTTAAACCAAGTAGGTACAAGTTACACTTTTTATTGACCATACTGTAGCCAGTAGTTCAATTTCTACCATAACATATCTGCTTTCTGTGTCAGAAAGGAAACGAGAACCACACTGTACAAGTTTTTATGTCCCCATGTTTTAAAGAAGAGTATACCCGAGGCCATCCAGACGTGAGGCGTCGGTGTGTAGAGCTGTCTCAAGAAATGGATCAAAATGTGCTATTTTTGACTAGCGTTGGAAATGTTGGAAATGTCTCTCATCACTAGACTTTCTAACATAGTCTAAATAGAAGAGCATTGTTGTCCAAAATTAGATTTAATCCATACTAAAGCATCATTAGTTTTCTTTTCCAATAAAGTAATACTGTTTTGTGTACAAGATACTGTAGATTCTCAAGAAGTCAATCTGCAACTAGCAGATTGTTCCACTTCTTTTACAAAAGTTTTGAACCATAGATTTCTTTTTGGCATGTTGCTTTCCTTTACCTTTTAGAAATATGGAAATTCAACTAAATAACGACTGACTACGCCATATAATAAGTTGTAAAACAAATATTGCAATCCTAATAAATCAAACCTATATTGAGAACTCTCTATTATATAACATTGATTTCCATCACAGTTAACTACTGCTAGTAGGAAGTAAGTTTATTAGGTTATCTTCACACAGTAAACTGTTTGGGCCAAGAGCTAGCTTATTTTATGGTTATATCCTTCATACGACACTTTATCAAAGCCTAGTGCCACATCAAAGAAAACTGGAAGAACCTTTTCTTTCTTCTAGCGACTATTCAATTACTTGCAGCTGTGGTCCTATGGACTTGATCTGTAGTAGAGTGGATGTGTCTGGTTGAAGCTAAACTGCTTGTACCTAATAATGTTTCTTCAATACCTGTCTTTAGTTTTTTATTTTAGTTTATGTTTCGAATGGTTTTGCAATTGCAGGAAACAAGGAAATGGGCCTGCAATAAAACTTTATTTAATAGCTTTCCAGGTTTACAAATAATTGTCATTTATTCGCCTTTTCATAATTTAGGTACATATTTTAATCAAAGAGATGCAATAACAAGATAGGTATGCTTTACAATTGTTCTGTGGAAGCTGTTATAAAACTTTGCCCGTATTTGGGTCAGATCCTGAAGCTTTCTTCTGTAGCAAGTCTGATTTCACCCTCTTCTAAGCTAAGATTGTTTTAATCTAGAGTGTTTTACCCTCATTTGGTTTGAAGGCATTTTTAAGATGTCTGGCTATTTTATTCGATTTGTGTACATTACTCTTTGCCAGTGAACCAGCTGTATTTTATTCGCTAGTCGCTGGATTATACAAGGTTGTTCTTTTTGTATTTTGGTGGTTCTTCAAAGTGGAGAGACAATCATTTGACAGTTCATTTATCATAATAGAGTTATCTTAAATTTTCTTGAATCTCTTGCTTGATTTGTTACTTATTTATTATAGTTTTATTAGCTGGTGAAGTCCCTTCTTTGGTTCTTGAGATAATAGCGGTATTATCCCAGGCAACCAGCTGGATTTTATTAAAAAATGTTTCTGCTTCACTGTCTCGCTGATCTTCAGTTTTTCTTAATGCGACCAAAAAGTCGATAGCTGTCTCGAATTGAAGTTTGAAGCTCTGTCAGTCAGTCTATTAGTCAATTTAAGACCTGCCTTCTTTTATAAAAAGTTGTCGCTTCGGGTGTATAATATTTTGCGTTATTAAGAACAATAACCTTGTAAAACATATATCAATAATATGTAAATAACAGAAAAATATACTAATTAAATCAAAAAGAACTAAATAAAGGAGAAACTGAAATTTATAGTTATAACTAGTTTGCCTCTGATGTACTGAATTTTAATTTTTTTTTTGTCAAAATTCTCAATCGGAAGAAAAAGGAACGATAGTTAAAATTTTACAAAACTACTTTGTTTATAATTTTTGTCTTCCTGAAGTGATGGCTTTATGTTAAGAAATATAAAGGACACGAGCAAAGGAAAACAAGACAAGTTTTTAATGGTCTCCTTTTTAGGTATCGTCCTTGATTTGTCCATTAATTTTTCTTTTATATTTTTGCTTTATAATTATGACAGGGTGCACAAGACTAAACAAAAAACGATGATCATTAAGGGTAGGTTAAGAGTTACGCATCTTAAAGAATATATACGAGGTAGAGTCAAGGACAAACTTATAGAAGCACCGAACGAAACTTTATTATACGAGGAGACGAAAATGTTATGATATGATCAGAATAAAATACCATAAACCGAGAGACATGCAGATCCAAATTAATTATTAAGAAAATCTGAATATGGATTTTTATTTATAATTGTATAAAACATTTTGGGACACACTGTACATAGTTTCAACGATATGAATATCGAAAAACTTATAAAAATTAAATGTATCTCTCGTTTCGAGATTCCCATTAATAATTTACCTAATTCTGCAATAAGTCCAAATTAAATTTCTGGAAAAGTCTGCGCGAAACAGATTATTTAGCGTTTTATAGTTATATATACTAGGATTATTATTTTCCATTTCCATTTAATGGAGTAATTGCTTTTGACTCAGCTCTTTTCCACTTTTTCATTCGCGCTGGCCAATTCGTTCGTTCTGCCAAATGACTATGAAATGGGAATTTTATGTAGTTATATTTTATTTTTTTAGGTCAGTCGTTTAAAGAAAGTAAATATTCGGCAGTAGCAACCTTTTTAACTTAAAATAATTTAAAAGGGACAATCTATAAAAAAGAAGGCATTAAAAAATGCATGTATGTCTTCATTCTAAGTGTCAGTTTGTATTTAATATCTACCTTTGTCGGTCAAAGCATACGTTAGAAACATTTCTTGTAAACCACTCTTTACAATAAAATATGATAATTCACTCTAGCAACCTCGGCCATCCTTTCTTCTAAATTTAAATGTCTTTTTTAGATATTTTAAGTAAATATAACCGCTGTAATGGTCGAATGGGAACCTCCATTCATAGTTTTGACTTTAGCTAATCTGGGCACTTTCATCTTTTTCTGAAAATATTACATTATTTTTCCTAAAGGGTAATCTTCACTGTTTTTACCTATATAAACTATACCAGCAACCTTTAAAGAATTAAGTTTTCTTTGACCAATATTGATTAGGTAATTTTTCACTGTTGTCGCGAACCTTCTGCATATGTCTCAGACGTTTTACTATATAAAACATATATTTGACAAATAGCATCCAAATCTAGCACCTCGCAGCTACTTACTGTATTATTTTTTGTCAGATTCTTTGTCGGATTCTTTGTCAGATTCTTTGTCAGATTCTTTGTCAGATTCTTTGTCAGATTCTTTGTCAGATTCTTTGTCAGATTCTTTGTCAGATTCTTTGTCAGATTCTTTGTCAGATTCTTTGTCAGATTCTTTGTCAGATTCTTTGTCAGATTCTTTGTCAGATTCTTTGTCAGATTCTTTGTCAGATTCTTTGTCAGATTCTTTGTCAGATTCTTTGTCAGATTCTTTGTCAGATTCTTTGTCAGATTCTTTGTCAGATTCTTTGTCAGATTCTTTGTCAGATTCTTTGTCAGATTCTTTGTCAGATTCTTTGTCAGATTCTTTGTCAGATTCTTTGTCAGATTCTTTGTCAGATTCTTTGTCAGATTCTTTGTCAGATTCTTTGTCAGATTCTTTGTCAGATTCTTTGTCAGATTCTTTGTCAGATTCTTTGTCAGATTCTTTGTCAGATTCTTTGTCAGATTCTTTGTCAGATTCTTTGTCAGATTCTTTGTCAGATTCTTTGTCAGATTCTTTGTCAGATTCTTTGTCAGATTCTTTGTCAGATTCTTTGTCAGATTATTTGTCAGATTCTTTGTCAGATTCTTTGTCAGATTCTTTGTCAGATTCTTTGTCAGATTCTTTGTCAGATTCTTTGTCAGATTCTTTATCAGATTCTTTGTCAGATTCTTTGTCAGATTCTTTGTCAGATTCTTTGTCAGATTCTTTGTCAGATTCTTTGTCAGATTCTTTGTCAGATTCTTTGTCAGATTCTTTGTCAGATTCTTTGTCAGATTCTTTGTCAGATTATTTGTCAGATTCTTTGTCAGATTCTTTGTCAGATTCTTTGTCAGATTCTTTGTCAGATTCTTTGTCAGATTCTTTGTCAGATTCTTTGTCAGATTCTTTGTCAGATTCTTTGTCAGATTCTTTGTCAGATTCTTTGTCAGATTCTTTGTCAGATTCTTTGTTAGATTCTTTGTCAGATTCTTTGTCAGATTCTTTGTCAGATTCTTTGTCAGATTCTTTGTCAGATTCTTTGTCAGATTCTTTGTCAGATTCTTTGTCAGATTCTTTGTCAGATTCTTTGTCAGATTCTTTGTCAGATTCTTTGTCAGATTCTTTGTCAGATTCTTTGTCAGATTCTTTGTCAGATTCTTTGTCAGATTCTTTGTCAGATTCTTTGTCAGATTCTTTGTCAGATTCTTTGTCAGATTCTTTGTCAGATTCTTTGTCAGATTCTTTGTCAGATTCTTTGTCAGATTCTTTGTCAGATTCTTTGTCAGATTCTTTGTCAGATTCTTTGTCAGATTCTTTGTCAGATTCTTTGTCAGATTCTTTGTCAGATTCTTTGTCAGATTCTTTGTCAGATTCTTTGTCAGATTCTTTGTCAGATTCTTTGTCAGATTCTTTGTCAGATTCTTTGTCAGATTCTTTGTCAGATTCTTTGTCAGATTCTTTGTCAGATTCTTTGTCAGATTCTTTGTCAGATTCTTTGTCAGATTCTTTGTCAGATTTTTGTCAGATTTTTGTCAGATTCTTTGTCAGATTCTTTGTCAGATTCTTTGTCAGATTCTTTGTCAGATTCTTTGTCAGATTCTTTGTCAGATTCTTTGTCAGATTCTTTGTCAGATTCTTTGTCAGATTCTTTGTCAGATTCTTTGTCAGATTCTTTGTCAGATTCTTTGTCAGATTCTTTGTCAGATTCTTTGTCAGATTCTTTGTCAGATTCTTTGTCAGATTCTTTGTCAGATTCTTTGTCAGATTCTTTGTCAGATTCTTTGTCAGATTCTTTGTCAGATTCTTTGTCAGATTCTTTGTCAGATTCTTTGTCAGATTCTTTGTCAGATTCTTTGTCAGATTCTTTGTCAGATTCTTTGTCAGATTCTTTGTCAGATTTTTTGTCAAATTCTTTGTCAAATTCTTTGTCAAATTCTTTGTCAAATTCTTTGTCAAATTCTTTGTCAAATTCTTTGTCAAATTCTTTGTCAAATTCTTTGTCAAATTCTTTGTCAGATTCTTTGTCAGATTCTTTGTCAGATTCTTTGTCAGATTTTTAACAGATTCTTTGTTAGATTCACACAGAAAATTGGAATTATTTCTTCATAAGTAAATGAACATTTTTCTAAATGTCTTCAAAGGATACCCCTAACCATCTTAACCATAATATCCAACCATTTTCTCTATCAACAGGTAGTGAGTGAAATCAAAACCCATTTTATTTTCTTTTTATGTACATTGGATGATTTTAGTTAAGTCTATTTGATTTAAAAGAATACTATGGATCCATTATATGTTTTGCATAATTAAAACTGGATCTTCTTGCTAAATATCAGTTTTTATCAATTCTAAAATTAGCTTTATATTTCACATCATGTTTAACAGAATCTGCTTTATTTTAGTCGTAAATGATATAATATTTAGAACTTTTATATAAATATATTTATAAATATTTAAAATGAATGTTCGCATAAAAAATTGTGTTTATGATGTATTTTCTAAGATTAGCTTATTGACAATTTAATTTTTAAATTGTATTAGAATTGTAAATGTTAAAATCATCAATATCTTCGGCAAAGAATGATCTGGTTTATATTCTAATAATACCATCTTCATGTTTGAAGGTTTTTAAGTTTTTTCATATTAATTTCTGTTCCAAATCTCATTGTCTAAACCATTTTCAAAAGCACAATTTTAGCTTTATTGACTTTTCTGATTGAAAAAAAAAGTCTTTTTGTACTATTTTCTTTCGTGTTATTACAAAAACGAAACATGTTTTCGTAAAATTATCAAACTTGTCAATTATTTTAAATTTAGATACCATAATAACTGCTACAGATTTCCTTATATCTGCTTTTACTTCTTTCATTGCGTGATCATTGTTCGATATTATCCTTTAATCATGTAGAACCTTCTTATAATTTATTCTCCATAATGTCTTAACAAAATGTTGAAAAGGGATAAAGATTGAGAATTTTATTACAGATAAAATTACGGTATGACGTGATATAAAATTAATAATCAGTTTTTGGCATGCATACGTTCTACCAAGTGATATTGGTTTTTAATATATACAACTACTAACAACAGATTCACATAATTTCATATATATGTCTTCATTAACAACTGTTCTTCTATCATCTAATGAGTCTAATGCAACAGTTGTAACATGACCTATCTTTCGAATAAACGCCAACTCAGCACAGGTCCAAATCTTATGAGCGCTAAGATTGAAATGATTGATTGATATCAGCATAAAATTGTTTGATGTTAATTTTTAATTTTTGTTTTAAGAATAATCAATCGTTTCCTTTTCAAATCATATTTGAAACGCATTTAGCTTTTACAGGTATTTTCATTGCTATAATATACTATAATTTATGACCAAAATGGCTTCATTCCTATCGCCCGCAGGCGAGGAATAGGAAATGTAACGACGAAAATCTCAGGCTCATTTGGAAGTTAATTAGGTAAAACTTCGGTATCTTATACTTTGAGACAAAGCGCGTGGTAAAATTTCCAGGGAGTTGCAAAAGTTTCAGCCGCAATTTGCGAATCCGCTACTTGAAAATTTGCTGTAAGGATCAGAATAAATTTTATAGGAAACGTTCCGATCCGGAATTTGAAATCTCTAGACTTTACTTGGAAAGGAAAAAAGAAGGAGAATTATTCGATGCGGGGCTTACCTGTAAGTTGTAACAAAGGAAAGTCATTTGATTGAATTGTGATTAGATTGCCTTCTCTGAGAGTTTTTCTTTTTGGTTCGTGCAACCAAGTTTTATATGTTTTATTTTAGTGTCGGCAATATATTGTGTGGTCCATCTTAATGTGTGGCTGTATTCATAGTTTTGGTCTATGTAAATAAATGAATTGTCAGAAAAATATTAAGAAGAATTAATAAAAATAAGAGTAGATAGACCAATACCACGGCCTCACATAGGGAATTGAATGTGCAAGAGTGAGAGGTACAAATTCAGTAGGTAAGAGTGAGACAGAGTGAGGAGAAGTGGGGGAGTGGAGATAATTAAATCTCTTTTAACGTTGAACAGAAAAATCATGCGATTGCCAGAAGGGCCTAAGCGTGTCTTTGTTACTGTTGATCCGATTCAAACGGAAAAACGGCATTATATAGATAACTCGGTATAGATTAACGTCGAATAGAAAAATCAGGCGCAGAACGAAAACCCAGTAGGGCCTTAGCGTGTTTCTGGGATATTCCGGTCGGATTCAAACGGGAAAAACGACATTATGTATATAACGTGGTATAGATTAACGTTGAAGAGAAAGATTGACATTTCGTTTAATTTTTCGTTTGACGTTTTCGTTTGACGTTTTCTTTTGACGTTTTCGTTTGACGTTTTCGTTTGACGTTTTCGTTTGATGTTTTTGTTTGACGTTTTCGTTTGACGTTTTCGTTTGACGTTTTCGTTTGACGTTTTCGTTTGACGTTTTCGTTTGACGTTTTCGTTTGACGTTTTCGTTTGACGTTTTCGTTTGACGTTTTCGTTTGACGTTTTCGTTTGACGTTTTCGTTTGACGTTTTCGTTTGACGTTTTCGTTAAACGTTTTCGTTTGTCTTTTTTGTTTAACGTTTTCGTTTGACGTTTTCGTTTGACGTTTTTGTTTGACATTTTCGTTTGACGTTTTCGTTTGACGTTTTCGTTTGACGTTTTCGTTTGACGTTTTTGTTTGACGTTTTCGTTTAACGTTTTCGTTTAACGTTTTCGTTTAACGTTTTCGTTTCACGTTTTCGTTTGACGTTTTCGTTTGACGTTTTCGTTTGACGTTTTCGTTTGACGTTTTCGTTTGACGTTTTCGTTTGACGTTTTCGTTTGACGTTTCCGTTTGACGTTTTCGTTTGACGTTTTCGTTTGACGTTTTCGTTTGACGTTTTCGTTTGACGTTTTCGTTTGACGTTTTCGTTTGACGTTTTCGTTTGACGTTTTCGTTTAACGTTTTCGTTTGACGTTTTCGTTTGACGTTTTCGTTTGACGTTTTCGTTTGACGTTTTCGTTTGACGTTTTCGTTTGACGTTTTCGTTTGACGTTTTCGTTTGACGTTTTCGTTTGACGTTTTCGTTTGACGTTTTCGTTTGACGTTTTCGTTTGACGTTTTCGTTTGACGTTTTCGTTTAATTATTTCGTTTAACGTTTTGGTTTGACGTTTTCGTTTAACGTTTTCTTTTGACATTTTTTTTAACGTTTCGTACTACACGTTTTTCATTTAAAAAGCATTAGTATCCAAGATACTATCTGAAACACCTTGATGATAGGGTGTTCTATTATGATACAGACAATGTTATTTATACATATCAACAAAGTCAGTGGAATATTCCTTCTGGATCATTCTTAGGGGAGCTTACAGAAAAGCTAGAAGAATATGGTACAGGCTCTTATATCTCAGAGTTCGTTTCAGAAGGTCCTAAAAATTATGCTTATAACATTTGGTCACTAGAGAAACTGAATATAAAATTGTTTGCAAAGTGAAGGGCGTTTCTCTTTCCTACTCAGCATCTAGCATCAACAATTTTAATACTCTTAAAAAGATGGTTACCGAAGAGACCGACTCAATATATATTACAGCTACACAGATCCGACAAACCAAAGATCATAAAATCATTTCAACGCATGTCCAGAAAAAGTATTGAAATGGTTCATTCTACCCATATGAATTTAAACAAAAGTAACTACTTTTTAAAGATCTGACAAACAGAGCAACAAACTAGAGATATTAGGAAAGACAACACTCTCATCGAAGAATACCAAGAAAAACAGTCTCCGTTCATGCGCAAAGGTTGACAGATCTGAGAATTTTAAAATAAACTATGCTATGATTACCTCTTACAGAAGATACAGACCAGAAGAATGCCATTGGAATGGCTAATAAGAACCGATAGGTGTTGTTCGCTATAAATATTTTTAATTTTGTAAATTGAATAAATGTGTTTATCTTTAATGTTGTTTTATTTCTTGGTGTTACCTCATAGACGCAATATACTCTCAAGTGGACATGGCCTTATGGTTGAAGTAAGTAATCAGATATGGTGAAAAGTGGAGTGGTAGAGGGGCTCCCAAGTGGTCCATTACCTACTAATAAGCTAGAGAATTTGTTCGAATAACTTGACTGGCGCACACATTGTCATTATTGCTATTAGTTTATAGTTTTCAATATCAATTTTATTACCTGAGAGCTGTTTTCCATATTGTTGGAAACGTACTGGAACATTAAAAAATATAGATAAAGGCTAATTTTGGAAAATCACTACATGACTTAAGGATGTCAGGTGGGACCCTATCTGGCGAGTTATCTGGTCCAACTGTTTTCTTAGGCAGAGCGCCCACCGAAGTAACGTGATGCATGGCATATGACATGGCGCATGCAGCATGACCACGATGTACATATATAGCGTAGCTCAGTAGACGCCCACTAGAGTGACAAAAGTTAGCAGAAGCAAAGGAAATAGCAGGAATTGGCAGTTGGTACTTGTATTTTGTTGCTTCGTGGTTAAATAATGTCATCATCAGATGAAAATGCCTTAGCTGTAGTAAATTTAATTAATATTATTTTTTTTACTGATCTCTTCTTATGCTTTGTCTTGCAAATTCCTATTGGAATAATCATTAGAATTATAATCATAGGATGTTTTTCAACAATTGAAACAAATAGAACATTAAATTCCGGATTGTCTTTCATTTTTTAATAGGTACGTATACAAATACACACCAAAAATACAACTACCGGCCTTCTGACGTGGCAAGAAAATAGAACGCGTTCTATTTTTATTGCAGTCACATGGCGTGCTACGTGTCACAACATACTAGATACGCGCCTTGCCACTTTGGTGGGTTCCTGTTTATTTGTTTACGTTTGTTCAATTTGCCACAGCATGCTAGATGCGTGCGACTTGCTAGATCATACGCCATGCCATAAACCACGTTAGTTCGGTGGGCGCTTTGCCTAAGTCTTTTTTACGACACGTTCCGAGATAACTAAGTCTATTCCATAAAATGTACTTTGCCCTGAAAACAATCCTGATCATCTTCCTTTACCTTTACTCTACCAAAAGTATATTTATTTAAAACTTGGTTTTACACATATTATGAGTTAGTTTCGTCGGGGATTAGCAAGAGTTCGACTTGAAAATGTAAATTTCTGGTTTCGTTTGGAAAAGATAATTATACAGTGGAGATGAGTCGGACGGTATAGAGGCTGTCTTTACACGGTTTCATAGCTTCAAATCCGATTAATTTCAAAACGGCTGGCAAAAGTCCGGAATATCTCAGGCGTATGACTATCTACCGACGAGACGGAATCCGTTTAGCAGATTTCGCGTTTTCGCTTTTAATCAAATGTGCTGGGAGAATCTTCCAAAGAGATTTTATTTATATTTTTTTAATTTTGAATCGATATAGTTTTATTTAAATGCGTGATTTTATTTTGAGAGTTCAAAAGGAAACGGAAATAAATTGCATCCGTACATTAAATAAGTTAAAAATAACTACTTTGCAGCTATGGATCAATGATGTACAATACAGGTGTTAACAAAAGTATACGCCACTTATTTAGGAAAATAATGTAGTTACGGCAAAGTTAAAACATAGGATATGCTTTGGTCTGTAGAGACAAAACTACATTAAAAAAAAGCCAACAAATTAAATATAATTTAAATTATGCAGGGCACTCCATTAAAGTCATAAACATATTTTTTTTTTTATTGAGACCCTGTATTTTACAGACACCTGTTGACTCACCAATATACCTAGTTTACATAACCACTGATTAACAAAAATAATAATTAAAATATTTCATATTTAAACGGTATAAAACAATGAATAGGTTAGGGACCCATTTGGAACAATTTTCAAACTGCGCATGCACCCACAATAGCTCTGAAGTTAGCTAACCTGTTGACAGATGTCAAAATATAAACATTTGTTAACTGCTAGAAATCGTTTTAACCTCGTATATGTAGTAAATGGCATCAAACCTAACTGTGAATCAGACCAAGTAATGAAAGGATAAGCCAACCAAAACTTTAACCACCAAATCTGGTATCAGCGCATATGAAGGAGAAGGATGCGGTGTTGCCAAAAAAAAGGGCCTAAGCTTTGTTGGCAGGATTCAAAGGGAACCAAACGAGAAAAGTAGAGAAGCTTTAATGAAGCCTCTTGAAGAGCTGAAAAAGTGGCGCAGGACAACGACAAAAAGTCATTAATTAATATCCCGGCTATTCGCGATTCAAGCTAAGTGATACGCCCTCTGGAGGAAATTTGTAGAAGATCCGTATAAGTAGGATATCGTTCAGTATTGCCAGAAGTAGCAAAACTTCGCTACGTCGTTGGATTTTAGCTTTTGAAGAAGTGGATAAGACCTTTTATTTAAAAATCTAAATTTGTGTGTGGTAATATGTAATCATACTCTATATTTATTTTAGGATTTTTTTATAAAACTGATTTATTATACTGATTTTTTTTAAAATTTCAGTTCATTTATTAATTTTGTTTTAAAATCAGTTGATCATTTGGCAACATTGGCGTTCGTGTTCATTGTTTACATTTTAATTTGTATCAATTACAATTCGAGTTTTTTCTTACTTTTTAGCTTTTAATTTGTTTATTTCTTATAGTATGTGATAGTGTTTATATTAAAAATGAAATCTCGAAAACGTCCCCAGAAAATTGCAATCTA